TTTACTCTCTGCTGTGATGCAACGTTTCCTGCTGAAAACAGACGCTCTGGTGTTAATAATTAATAGTTAATATAAATACTTAATCAATGTTAAGAATCATTTTCAATTATTAAGACGATTTAATAAACATTTTGTTTATATTTATTTGAATCTGAATCTTGAAAATAAAGTTACTAAAGCCTTGAAACAGTTGTGGTCTGGTGCCCCCCGAGCCCCCCTTTAGACTCCGCCCTGTTGCTGATGTAAACATCGTGTCAGACTGAGCTCACTTCGCTGCAGCCGGTGACGTGTGGAGCAGGTGCACAGGTGTGTGTCACCTGAGACTGCACAGCAGGTGTTTGTGCAGCACCTGTTCTCAGTGAGGAGTCTCCTCCGTGCTGCCGGCCCGTCGCTGAGGTTTCTGTTGGTTGTGCTGTCAGATGAAGACGCGTCCCTCAATCTGGCGTGGAGCTTTAAAAGCCCCGCCAGCGCACACACTCACACAGTCCCGCTGTTCTTTCTTTGGGTTGTGGGTCACGCTGCTGGTTAGTTGTGATTTCTTCGATATAGTCTGCGCAACAAAGTGATTCCTCCCCCCTCCCCTCATCAGTCACTGATGTGTCACATGACTGCAGATACCTTTGACATCAGGGTGAACGTCAGTCAGTGAGCGCCATAAATCAACACAGTCGCAGGATGTTTGTGAGGCTGATTTAACCCTTGTGTGGTGTTCGTATTTTTGTTACTCAGCCAGTGTTCATGAGTCTGGTGGACCCGCTGGAGTTTTGGCTTATACGAGCCATATGAACAGCAAACATGGTTCATTTTTTCCCTTTACCTTTGTTAGATCACATTTATGAATTAATGTGCTTCTCGTTTTTTTTTTAATAAAATGTTATAAAAAAATAAATCAGTTATAATCAAGTGGAGTGAGTGGAAAGACACAACACATTTACATGCGAAGCAACATGTTTCACAACTAAATGGGATCAGCTGCTCATCAATGGTGACATTAGGCCCAGGGTTGTAAAACGGGGAGGTGGTGCACCGATTATCCCACACTGTCCTGATGGCAGCTAGCTTGTCTCTCTGCTGTCGAGCTGCTCTGTCGTCTCGGTTATCAAAACGGATAATCCTGGAAATTTTG